AGCGTAGCACAGTACTAGATGCAGTACTACAACTGTGGCCTGACCAGAGTCGCATAGAGGGGGAGTATCACCTTGCTGGACCGGCTTGAGATGCACCTTTGGATGCATGACAGGGTATGGCTGGCCTTGCTGACTGCGGTCTGGCATTGGCGGCTCATGTTCATCTTGGAGTCGATAATGACTCCAAGATTCCTTTCCGCCTCTGTGCTTTCATGATGGGAACTCCCCAGCCTGTGTGTATGCTGTATGTTGTGGTGGACATAGTCTTTCTGGACTTTAGGAAGGCCTTCAACACTGTCTCTCACCCCATTCTCATTAAAAACTAGGGGATAGTGGTGTCAATACCTACACAGTCAAATGGCTGGAGGGCCTCACCCAGAGAACAGTGGTGGATGAGTCATTTTCGACCTGGAGGGATGCGGGCAGTGGGGTTCTTCAGGGCTCAGTCCTCGGGCCCGCACTGTTAAACATCTTCATCAGCGACTCGGATGAGGGGGTAAAAAGCACCCTGTTCAAATTCACAGATGACACTAAGATGTGGGAGGATGCAAGCATGCTAGAAGGGAGGAATAGACTGCAATTGGACCTAGACAGGTTACAGGGGTGGGCGGATGAGAACAGGATGGGTTTCAATACTGACAAGTGCCAGGTGCTGCACCTGGGGAGGAAGAACCAGCAACATACCTACAGGCTGGGGAACTCCCTTCTCGTCAGTGCAGAGGCAGAAAAGGATCTTGGAGTCATTATTGATGCCAAAATGAACATGAGCCAACAGCGTGGGGACGCAGTCAGGAAGGCCAACCACACCTTGTCATGCATCCACAGATGCATCATGAGCAGGTCCAAGGAGGTGATCCTCCCCTCTATGCGACACTGGTCAGGCCGCAGTTGGAGTACTGCGTCCAGTTCTGGGCGCCGCACTTCAGGAGGGATGTGGACAACTTGGAACGGGTCCAGAGGAGGGCCACTCGCATGATCAGGGGGCAGCAGGGCAGGTCCTACGAGGAGAGGCTGAGGGACCTGAACATGTTCAGCCCCCACAAGAGAAGGCTGAGGGGGGGGATCTAGTGGCCGTTTACAAACTAGTCAGAGGGGACCAGCAGGCATTGGGGGAGTCCCTGTTCCCCCGAGCACTACCAGGAGTGACAAGAAATAATGGTCACAAGCTGGCAGAGGGTAGATTTAGACTAGACATCAGGAGGCGCTACTTCAGTCAGAGCGGCTAGGATCTGGAACCAACTTCCAAGAGAAGTGGTGCTGGCTCCTACCCTGGGGGTCTTTAAGAGGAGGCTGGATGAACACCTTGCCAGGGTCATTTGACCCCAGTACTCTTTCCTGCCATGGCAGGGGGTCGGATTTGATGATCTGCTCAGGTCCCTTCCAACCCTATCAACTATGAAATTATAAGGGAGGGAGAGGCCTCCCTGCTGTGTGCTGAAGTACACTGCCTTGCAGTTTTACTGCTACATTTCAAACCATTTCTATTAAGTTCAAAAGGTTATCTAGTTCTTTTCAATATCAGCAATATTGCCCAGCTTGTCTCATCTGCAACTTCCATCATCAGCACATATCTGGTTCTTATACTGAGGTCACAAGTGATGATGTTAAACTAGATGTCCTGAGGTCCATCCTTGAGGAACAGCACTAATACCTAACTGCTTTCCAACCTGATCAACTCCTCTTTTACTTTAACGTGATAAAGTCTTCCTTTTGACCTGCGTCCTGTATGATCTTTAATTTCATACTAATCCTCATCTTCTCTACCTCAGATAATTGTTTCCCATTAGGCACTGAATCAGATGTCTTGCTTAACTCTAGAAAGATTAGCTCCCCTGGACTGCCCCTATCTAAGAAGTCAACCATCCTACCTTAACCCAGGTCTAATTGCAGTGTGCTTTGGAGCACCCAGGACTAAGGACAGTTTGCCACGGCAGGGTAAAAATCCTGCAACACACTATGAAGCTCTTTTCTGGACAAATTGTATCTGCCTCTGTCATATGCCTGGGGTCTCTGCTTTGTTTTTACTTTTGGACAGCATGTGGGAAGCTTGGTAGTCCAGTAAAATCTCATGGAAGGGCTAGTCACTCCGGTACACACAGACTCCTTGCAATCTCTCTCCTCCCTCTCCCCTGCGGTGACCTCACAGTTGTATACAGATGGGGTTTCCTAGTAACCACAGAGCACAGCAAAGCTAGCAGGAGCTGCAGCACCTCTGTGCCCATTGCTCCAGGAGACTTGGGGTCTAGGTGAGGCATGCAGAGCAGCCAGGATACAAGAGCACCTGGAAAGGAGGAGGAAGATGAAGAAGAAGTTGAAGAGAAAACTGCTCAGCTACTAAGAGAAAAACACCAGCTGCCACTCTCTGCTCAGTCTGCCTTTGCTTATGTCCCACCTGGACGCAGGGACCCTCCAGAGCTCAGCTATTTCCACCGAGAGGCTAAGGTGAGGTTGGAAAGAGAAAGCGGCAAGTAGTGGAGTGAGGGTGAGTCTGAGGGAGCAGCTTTGATGAGGTACGAGACAGAGAAACTACAAAAAAAGAAGATTAAAAAAAAGAGACAATGGCATAGGAGTAAAAAAAAGAGGAGGAGGCTGCAGGAGGAAGCAGGCACGTCAGTCATAGACAAAGAGAGGCAGAAGCATCTGCAGCGGGGAATTGGGTTGCCAAATTTTTTTACCTGAATCAGTCTCCACTTAAAATCTGTCCCTTGCTTTCACAGCCTGGGCCCCTGTGTGGTCTACGCTCATTATTTCTCCTAAATAAAGTAATTATATTGAAAATGGTGTTCAGCAGCTGGAAAATGCTGCATGTTCCCTAGAGCATAATTTACAGGCTGGAAAAAATAAGTGGTGAGATGGGGATTTGCTGAGCCCCGGTGAAATTAATAAGGGACATGCATAATAGTGCAGCTTCCCGGCAGTTTTCTATGCAGCTTAATTAAATCAGGAACAATCTGTTTGCATATTTTGGCTGCTAATTAGACTTGGGGTCAAGTGGTTGTAGTCACTCCAGATATGGTTGTGCAACTTGTCTGAAAGCAGATGTCAATGTTTTAAAGGTACATGAATCAACGCTACTGAAATGTCATACTTTTGCTCTACCCTAGAAAGTCCCGCATGATAACGTTGCACTTACTTGGGACTTTTCATTTTCAAAGCACTTTGCAAAGTGGAACTACTCTTTACAACATCTGTGGAGGGAGAAACACATGACCTACATTCAGGGGCAGATTCAGAGGGGGTGCATTGGCATGGTGGCACCCCCAGCAGACCACACCATGGAAGCAGCAGCTGAGGACTTTTTAAAGTCCCTGAATCAAATAAGAATTGCCCAGCTTTCCCTCCATGTTCAGTGGCATATCCCCTCCCTTCCAATTCCCCTCCTCCCTCCCTCATTGCTGCCATTGTCCTCCCATGTCCCCAGTTGCCCCCACAGTGGAGAGAGCTCCAGAGCTGCTTCTGCCCCTCTCCAGCTGGGCTGTTTGGGGAGCCGGGTTCAGATGGGGATGGTGGCAGTAGCAGTGATGGGTGGTTTTCTCTTTCCCTGACCTTGCTTCTGGCCTGTCAGAAAATACCTGGGAGGGTGGAGAACCATACAGGGAAGAGAGGCCTGCCCAACTCCACAGTTGCTTTTGTCCCCAACTGAGCCCAGTACACATCCTGGCTAGATTTAGGCCAGGAGCAGCTCTGGAGTCCCCTCCTCCCCCCACCATCCCCAGGGCAGCCAGAGACAGTGGCAGTAGCAGGTGATGGAGGGGTGAATGGGAGGGAAGTGGAAGTGCCACCGAGCATGGATGGGAAGGGAGGGGGTGCTGAGAGCAGGAGAAGAGGGAGATTTTTACCTGAGCTGGGATTTGAAGGAAGTCCCCAGCTACTGTTTCCATAGTGTGGTCTGCCTGGTCAGGTGCAGGGGTAGCTGGGAGTGACAGTGCCACCACCACCCCTGCAGCACTGGTTGCTGCTTCCACACCCCCAAAATCCTAGATCCACCTACACCCACATTTTCTGGGGAGGACAAGAATGAGAGGTTTAGGTGGATACCCAAAGCCAAAAGAGTGAGGTTCTTTGGGCAGGGGGCTGGACCCGATGATCTCATGAGGTCCCTTCTAGCCCTAATGTCTATGAAATCTATGAATCGATGAAAATAGTATAGAAAATTGGCACAGGACTTTGTCTCCTATTTGCAACCCCTCAAATAGTTTGTCTTTAAGTCCATGACGTGATGCATCTTGGTGAAAAGGTGTTTAGATTAAGTTCCTAACTTCTGCTGAGAAGTGTGTGCTCTTAGAGAGCCCAGTCCGTTGTGATACAGGGAGAGTTCCTCCTCTGGCCTTATTATTTAATAAAGGCTGCAGCTGCTGTTGTGTATAATGAGGCACTCAGTCCTTTAGGTCTGCCTGAGCCTTGTTTTGATTCGGACTGCCAAAGGGACATAGGTATTGAGTGCTTACTTTGAAGCTTCCAACTGGGTTTAAGCCAAAGATGGGCACTGAGTTGCTTGGCCCTGGCAAACTAAAGCAATTTTGGGAATGTGTGGAAGCAGATTTTCAGATGTGGGGGAACTTTCCTGCTGGCAGCATAGGCATCTACATTGTTAGGTAGGGGCTCTGAGGGTCAAGCATTTGCCATTAAGTTCCTAAATCCTGGAGGACAGAAGTCCTTTGGTGGATCTGGCCCTGAGTTAGCAGTAGAATGCAACAGTATCGTCTTACCTCAAAGAAATGTATGTTATCCAGGCATGTAAAATGCTTTGATCTTCTCAAATGAAATGTGCATTTGAGGTGTGAAATGCTGTGCTGCTTCTGTTCAACAACTAATGTTATTTCTTCCTGCTTTGAATAATCTTACTTATGTCTCACAATGATATTTGTAGTACTATAAATAGGAACGTAACACAGTTAACCAGCCCGCTCTGAGAGATTCAGCTGGTTTTAGGTAACCACAGTCGGATTTTTGAGGAGAAAGTCCTCGTCCCTATAGACTTCTGCTGTCCTTGGTCCTACAGAAACTGCACGTCTCCTAGCTAACATAACTCAATCTTATTGTGAAGTCTGAGATTAAGCTGTGCCAGATGGGAGTGCTGTAAGGAGAAGCTGTGGCACAGCAGAGAGTCTTAGAGTTCTTATGTTAACTTGTCCTGGGCTTAGATAAACACCGTGTAAAGCTACCAATTAACTCTTTTTGACTAATTCTGGCAGGTGTGTGTTAACTTCAATAGAGTGAACTAGAGGCAGGGACATGGATATGCTGAAGGGAAACTCTATGAACTTCCATTCTCAGGGAGAACACTTCGAGCTGATATCTATTGTACTATTGCTTGAGTCACCAATCAAGGCAAATCATGCACCAGAGGCACATGTGACCATCTATTGCCTCTGCAGACTTTACTTGAAGCAAACTGAGAGTATACATTTCACCTCTGTCCAAGGTTCATATTCAGCACATAGGCCATCAATTGCAATAATCTGAGAGTGGAGTTCTATTTCATTCAAAATGAAACATGACACTCCATTGGGTGCTTAAGTGTCCTCATTATAGGAAAATGAAGACATCTACATGTCTCTGGAGGGCAATCCTACTCCTATAATAGGGACATATGTACCAAGACGTGTGTAATAGAATCAGTCAATAGTCGGGTAATGCAGAGTTAGCCTCAAGCTGCACTTTAGTCATCCATTAGAGGAACAGAATTCTGCCACTCCCTACCACTGTCTCATTGGTGAATAACAGCTAACCACAGACAAGAAAATAGGTCCTACACCTCTTGCTCTTTTAGAATCAAATCAGGGATTCTGCCTTGAGTGTGATTTAAAGATCTTTGTGAAATCAGCTGGTCATCTCCATCCAAAGATTTAACCCTGCACCGCTGTCCTCCCAAGCTCATGGTAAACCCACTTGCTACATAGCCTGGACAGTTGTGTTAAGTATTCACTAAAGAAAGAGTTAACAGAGTCGACATCTCACATTTTCAGTTGGAGGTTTCAGAATGACATGGGGAAGGCACTGTGGTATCATTGCTAAAATGTGAAGTAGTCCTGGGTGCAAAGCATTAACATACACAAGGGAGACCAAGACGAACAATAAGCCTGGATGAGGCCCTGGCTCTAAATGTGGTTCCTACAGACACTGACAATTCACACAGAGAATATATATCCAATATAATCTGCATTAATCATGGAAGATTAATGTGTGGCCCAGCCCCATGCTGAGATAGGATGGAGTGGGGTCATGCCACACAGTGTTGCCACAGAAAGTTACCTTCAGGGTATGCTTATGTTATGTGACTGCGTGATGGTGGGGACAGAATAGTCATCACCCTGGCCAGTGGGATAAACTAACTGGATATTTTGATACAAAACACTAAAAAGAAATTTATTTTGGAAACTGAGGAAGCGAGAAACACAGGTAAGTGTGCTGAGCACAGGACTGGAAGCCAAGAATGCCTGAGTTTTTAATCCCTACTCTGCCGATTACTCCCTATATTGCTTTAGGCAAGTTTACATTGCATTTCCCATATGTGACTTGAAAAAGGTGCTTAGCTGTTTTAAAGGGATGTTGCGAGCATTCATTTATGTCTGCAAAATGATTTACAAGTGTTCAGTGTTATTACACCAGTTCATAGCAGATGCTCACCTTGAATACAAATTGCTTGTCTGCTTTACATGATTCACTCACTCTTGACAGGTTTTTAAAAACTATCAGCCTACCATGTCAGCATTTAACAACGGATACAAATGACAACCATGGATACCAGTGAAGTAGCTTAGAGTCAAAATAAGCAGCCACCAGGCATTGCACAATTAGAAGGGACTTGACATGCAAGGTAATAACAAGGATCTGCAACCACACAGATGTCATCTGCACAAGGATGGCAGAAGATCTCAAAACAGATTATCTGGGACAGAATTTGAGTTTAACATAATAGGCTGGCTGTCTATCTGCAAGAGGCTAAATCCTCTGCACTGACAATATTAATAGAAGAAAAAGGAATGAGCAATGCAGGCATTCCTTGTAAGCAGCATTAATTCAGTCTTTTCTGGAATTCGGAATAAAAATGACAATATAGGAAGTAAAGGAAATGCAAGAGTAAAGTACAAAAATGGAGATGACAGATTATATATAGGGACCGACTTAAATCGCGGCGAAACAAGTGGTTTTTATGGCCCGTTCACAGTGCGTAGAGCCAATTTGGGTGACATTTTGTGGCAGCCCCACCCCTCAATGCTGATTGGTGGAAAGGCCCAGTGGGGAGAAGGGACAAGGGAATGGCTGCCATCTTGATTTCTGGCTTCCCTGCATGCCACCCTGCCCACCAGTGCTAACTGGTAGAGAGGTCCCGGCAGGGGGAGAAGGGACAAAGGGGTAGCCGCTGTCTTGTCGGCTGCCCTTGTGCCACCCTGCCAGTTGGTACCTTCCCCTCCTGGTCAAGAGGACCAATGGTTCCCACTGGGGAGCCAGTTTTTTATTTTTCTTAAGTTTTTGTTGTTGTTGATTTCAGGGAATTTGCGGACAATCCTGGATTTCACAGTTTCAATGAAATCCATGAAGCCACGAATGAAGTAGGTCCCCAATTACATGCAACCTCTGCTTGCAAGGCCAGGACAAAACTAAAAGCCCTCTCTCCCTTTGAGAGAACTACATAATATCCTCCCTTTATCAAGTTAGCTGATTACTAGAGTGATGACCTAATGGCATCCTTTAATGGGGCTTCTAACCTTTGAGTCCTGTTCGGACTTCTCTATATTTTTAGAGAAAAGGAATGGAAATAATGAAACCTGAGCACATCTTCATTTCCTAAAGTCTGATGTTATGCACAGTTGTAAAGTTACAGTTTTTGGAAGATGACTTTTTTCCAGATTTTTAAACCAGATGTTGCAGGACCAGGGTGATGAACTGATCTTTTCTTCTGTCAAAGTGCTGAGTCTTTAAAGAAATTCATAAATCGGTAATAGGATATTGTAAATTTTATATATATATGTGTGTGTGTGTGTGTGTATATATATATCCTCTATCGAATAACTACTTTGTTTTCCTGAAACATGCACACCTCTCAGTATTTGTGGATTAGACTCTCTGCTGCCTGAAGCTAACTCTGCATTACGTAGCAGCTTGGGACTTCAAAGACACCAGCCTGCTTTTCTGTGCTCAGAAAACTCCTGATGGGAGTCTTGGCTATATCAAGAACAAAAGTTTGGGACCCATAAGGGGAAAATAATTAAAAAGAACTTTGACATCATAATATGAAAAGATATTCTAAATACAGTAATTTCCTTCACTCGCTAAATTTCCTTGTGGTAGAGCAAGTGTGGGCTATGCATATTATTGGAACAAGAGCTCACTGTTGCAGTCTGTTTCTGAGCTACTCAAAAATATGCATTAATCTGATGATTGAGTCACAAGCTTCATCTTACATCTTTGCCTTTTGAAAAGCATTCCAAAGCTGCCGGCTTTCTTCCTTTATTTTCTTCACTCAGAGTGATTCTTTAGTTCAGTGGAAGCATTTAATGAGAGAAAATATTTCAGTAAGGAATCAAATAAATGTTAAGTTTCAAAGGTTACTATAAATTACTTGGGATCACCAGTGCTATGAAATGTGAAAAAAATTATGTGACCATGTCCTTTCACATGCTGGAGATATTTGTTCTTGTTACATGTTTTTGCAGATAAACCAGATGCACAGAAAATTCATAACAGTTTTGGCTTCCAGACTATCCAAAATATTGTTAAAAAGTAGAAAGGCCCTTTCAGCCCTTAGTGCCTTACACATACCACTTGTTCGTTGTACAACATATTGTTTTCTAACTTATAGTGGTGAACGCTACAATAAATTAATCATATTTTCTCTTTCTTCCAAGACAGGAACTGTTTCCACCTATGAATCCATTTTTAAAAGGCCAGAGGGTTACAATGAAAAACTTCACCGCTGTGACAGAGAACATGCAAAGAGTCGTGGCCTTAAAATTAATGAAGAGGTAACCTCAAGTTACCTTACGGTAACCTTTGTTAAGTGACTTCATTGGTGTCAACAACACTGGAGACCACCAGCATTGTGTTTCCATTTGTTATACAAACCCCATTGGAGCAAAAGAGTATAAACTGGGAACCTGAGGTAGGAAAAGCATACAACCAACCAAACACCCCAATTTTCTGAGCAAACAGACCCGACCCTGACCCAACTTGCCCCCCTCCAATCTTCAAACCACATTATTTTTTCTGCCTGTCCAGGACTCACTGGAGTTGGGGGAGCAGAGAGAAGCTGAAGCTGTTCCCTGTAGAACAGTCCCCTAGAGCAGCATTTCTGTGGGTTGTGATCCAAAAGTGGGTTGCAAGAATATATGAAAGAGTCACGGACAAACATTAAAAATGGATCAACAAACTTTAAAATTGGATTCTCCTTTAAAGGAGAAATCCTTGGGAAATCATAGCTTTTCCCCTGCAGATTGCCAGAGTTCCAGTTGCAAGGGTTGCTTGGGCTCTCCCTGCCCCACAGCCATCCCCGGCCCCATACATTGAGGGGCTGGGGCCTGGGGTGAGGGGCACTGGGTTAGGACTGGCCATCAATGTTTACAAATGTGTCCTGGTACAAAAAAGGTTGAGAACCACTGCCTTATAGCTCTGTAAGTTTCCAAGGGAAAATTCTTGTAGCTAGCTGCCTGATAGGAGGTAAAGAGCCCATATATCAGCGTGGAAGGGTTGGCCTTCTATCAAAAATCTCCAAGATACATGAGAATGATCTCTGATTTCCCTGTGGATTTTGTGAATCTGTGTATTTGGGGAGGCACTCCCATAGTCTCCTCCATGAAACCAGTAAGCTTAGCTGTGTTGTTCTCCTGTGGCACAGTGCAGGTTTTATGGTTTGTTATCAATACTTTCTGGCTGCGATGTGCAGAGGGGCCAGAATGGCTATTCTTTTGGACTCTTAACAAATGTTTATTGAATGATGTCTGCAATCATGCACACAGTGGCCTAGGTGGTCCCTTCCAGTTCCATGTTCCTTTTCTTTCGGGAGGGCAAATACTATATATTCCCACATACCAAATACACCTTTTCCCAAAAACCAGCCCCACCACCCCATGCTTCTCCCCACAAGTTGTGGTGCATGTCTTAAGCGGGAAAACTGATTTTTCTGCCAGAGTAGAAGCACCCAGTTTTGAATCCTGCTCACAGCAGCAGTGACATTTCTATTTAGGCAGCTGAGGGAGTTGCATGATTTAATTGGTCATTGTTCTTGACTCTACAGCATTGGCGATGCATAGGGGGTTCATGCGGGTGCACATGCACCCCTTGAGATCAGCTGTGCACCCCCTGAAAACCCCCAGCCATGAAACCAGAAGTGCACTTCCGGTTTCACCACTGGCTCGGTGATCAGCCGCTGGGGGACAGCCCACCCCCATCAGCAATCTGGTGCCCTCTCAGACTCAGGAGGCACCAGTTACCCATGCTCTACAGGCTTGATGTTCCACTGATCAAAAAAGTTTCTTCTTCTGGCAATTTTGCTCTCTTTTAATTATTCTCTTCTTCTATTTCACAGCCTTGTAAGTGAGCTGTTTTTATTTCTTTTCAAAATCATAGCAGGAAAAGGAAGGTTAGCAAGGTGAAGATTAGGGTCTTTCCCTGCTCTATGCAGTCCTAACTCTGGATTTTTTTTTTTCATTCTACCTTCACAAAAACAAGGTGTGTGTCTTATTTGGGGTTATATGGTATGCAAGAAAATACGTTATCTTCCAATATTGTACTGGAGTGGCAGTCTGTGATGTTTGGGGTTGAGAGCCCTTTTCTATTTAGCAGCTGACCCTTCTACATGTTCTAAAATCAACAGGCTTTTTTCAAATGGCCCTGAACTTTGGCGTGCACTATGGCCCCTCCCTCTATTGTTCCCCTGTACCCTCAATAGAAGCTGAGATCTTCAGGTCTGTGCCCCTCCATGAATGAGTCCTTCTTTTTGCTCTCTTATATACAGTGCAATCTGAGAGGTCTCCTTCTGATCCCCTTTCCCTGCCTCCCTCCCACATTAACTAAGTCCAGACTGTGGGAGACAGGAGGAATAGAGGCTGTTCTTCTGTGATCTTGTGACCATGTAGGAGCTGGGATTTGGAGGGGCTTGCCATTCTGGGGTGGATCTGAGCATTCATCCTCCTTCCCCCTGTGTATGTGCTGGAGCAGGAAAGGTTGTGTGCTTCCAGGGTGGTGTGAGGTCTTTCCCCAGTCTTTCTGGAAACCAAGAAGAACAAGTTAATGGACATGTCACCCCTGGCTATGGCAGGGGTTCTGTCTGAGGCCAAGAGGGACCAGACCAGTTCAGAGGGGTGAGCAACTACCAATAAGTAGGTTGAGGGCATGGCTGGAGGAGGGTATGTCAAAGTAAGGAGGATTCCAGCTCAGTGTTGGGAATAATGGAGTTTGGTATACAACCTGGATGCTATGTTCTAGGACAGTGGTATAGATGAGTAGCACAGGGACAGTCTGTGGGTTGGATGCTGCTGGCAGAGTCAGTCTGTGGGCCTGATCCAGCCACAGAGCAACCCTATGCACCAGCCTGGCCCTTTGTGCTGTGTACAGGGTCATGTCACCTGGCCCACAGGACTCCACAGGTCCAGCATGTTGGTAGTAGGGGAGCAGTGCACATATCCCCTGGAAGATCCAGTCCACCTCATTTCAATGCTGTGTTGTGCAGGTTGTGGTCATCACAAAGTGTTAGGGGGCTGCTTGCCCTCAGGATAGGTGTTCTGGATAGACATTGAACAACCTGGTAATGGATGTTTTTTGATGTTTGATCTGTTTGTCAAATGCTGTCCTGCTGCCAATCCCTTTCCACATAGACTCATACCAGTAGAAATGTTTCTAGATTTCATGAAGTGTTTGGTACTTCTAGCAGGGAGTGGGGTGGTTCAGGCGTTAAGGTACATAGTTGACAGCCCTGAGGTTGCAAGTTTGAGGCCATAGCAGAAGTGCTTATGGTGCAGCCATGTCAGATCCCAGCAAATCTAAGAGTTCTGATAAATACCTTATGAAACAAGGACATGAAAAAGGAGGGGCACTTCTGGTCAGAGACTTTTGCCATCAAACCTCTGCTGGCAGTTGGGCTTCTATTTATTATTATTCTTTTTTAGATTATAAATTTCTCTTTGTCTTTTGGCTGGATTTAAACAGTACCAGGCAGTGTCAATTTTCTGAGTAAGATTCTGATAAAAGAAAGGCCTTTCTGGAGAGGAGGGTTCTGCAGCATTTTCTAAATGTGATAAAGTTCTGGATTAGCCAGATTGATTCTGGAAGTTTACTCTGTATCCAGATCCATGAACAATGTGTGCCTCTGGAGGTTGTGGGGGGACGGACAGGACGGGGGCAGGACGGCAAGCACTGACCAGCAGTCACCAACCACCTGCAGATGTCACTGGCAGTGGCACCCAGTGGTGATTGGTGACCACCTGCAGATGCCACTGGCAGTGGCAGCGGCGAGGGGGGTGGTGGTGAGTGGCGAACGCCCACAGGTGCTGCTGGCAGTGTTGGTGGTGCTCCTTTCAGGGGTGCACTGCTAATCTCAGGGGGTACGCATGCACCCCCTATGCATTGCCAATGTCCAGATCCCCTCTACCCTACAGAAATTTCTCTCTCTTTTTATTTAAGACCATTTATCAGTGACTTGATGCTGTAGTGTCTTTAGGACAAGCCTCTTGCATATGAGTTTCTGAGTCAATGAGATTCTTTTTAGAGCTCTTATTTTGTTAATAGAAATTGTTGTAGTTGGTCATATATATGGAGAATACACAATGGTGCAATGGGATGTACGAATGTAATCTGCATGAATAAAGGAATGGGTAATTACCCAGACATATAACCTGTAAGTAAATTGTGCAGGCCTTCCCAAATAAGTACTAATGAAACCTCTATACCACCACCAAGAGCATAATAAATTAGTTGTCCCACGATCTGCAACTAGTCCTAGAGAAATCTGCTGTAATATGTACAGCATATGTAATATGCTGTAACTCGTGTGGGGGCAAATCTCCCTATCCTGCTTTCCCGCAGGTACACTTGTGTTCCATTACTATTGCTGAAATGTTTGGCCACAAACGAGGACAACAGCAGAGTTTAAATCATGGCTGAAACTATCTTCCTGCTAAATAAGCAGTGCCTTTCTACAGCAACACATTATATAATTGTATCTGGGCAGAAGGCTTGTTTGGCACCAGCTGCTACAGCCAGCTAGTGCTATAAATCTGCACAATGTTCTGCATTTGGATTATTTAATTAGGAGTGTAACTTCTGAATGGTCTTCTAACAGGAAATGGTGAGACCCATTCCTGTTTTGTCCTCTTCACAATACGGAAGGCGAATCAACCAGCCAGTTGAGGAATTGATCAGAGGTCATGCAAGGATTAACCATGTGAAGGCTGCGTTCTACAGGAAAAATGGAATTGCTTGCTTGTTAGACAAATCTTCTTCAAGCCTAGAACCCTGCTAAAGCTCCTGTCTGCTGTCACCAGATGCATGAACATAGTGAAAAATAGGGTTCTCACTAATAAGTAGATCATTGTTTTGCATTCTTTTTCTCTAACATTGACATTTAATGGGCTAGTATGGTCTGAATCCAAAATAAAGCTGTAGTAGCAGTTCCTTTTCTTTAGTTCAAATTTACCTTTTTACCTGAAATCAATTTAAAGTCTTCAAATGATGCTCCCAGTAATTCTGAACATCTTTGGAACACAGCTCCACAAGTGTCGTCCTGGATCCTCAAGTCCAGTGACCTGCTACCGTGGTCATATATAGCATATAATCCCATTCATAAACTTAAGTATATTATAACAATATGGATCATTTATGGGAGCAAGGTCCTTCTTCAAAGGCTTTACAAATATTAACTCATTCCTCACAATGTTTCTTTGAAGTGGCAAAGTGTTGTTATCCTTGGAACGATGTTCCAAAATGAGTGCCTGACTCAGTAATGGGCATCTGAAGTAATGGCCAGAATTTCAGAGGTGCTGAACTTTAGACCAGCTTCATGTGCACTTGGCTTGAAATCAGTATGAGCTGGTTCCATCCAGGAAGAGCACACACCAACTGCTGCAGCTTCCTGAGCCTGATGAAGGGTTTTTGAACCCAAAAGCTTGCTTAATAACTATTCTCCAACCATTTGGGTTGGTCTAATAAAAGATATCAAATTCACCCAAGGAACCTTGTCTGCCTATGAGCTGGTTAGCACTTAAAAACTGAGTCTAAATAGTATGCACCCAATTTGCAACATTGTGGATTAAGTGACTTGCCCAAGATCTTGTGCAAGGGCAAAGCAATTAACTGGACACAGGAGATCCCAGCTTTTAAAGCACTAACCAATGTGCTTCTCAGGAAATTGTTGTCTGTGCTTTCTGCTGTTTCTATGGGAGAGCATGAGGGAAAGGGAAACCTGGCTTTACGCTGGCTGCACTGAAGTTTACCTATATATCAAAAATGATCATCATAGAAAATTAGGGTTGGACAGTCCGAAGTCTGACAGAGCCAAATGCTGCAGAGCTGCTTTGAATCATAGACATAATGAGCAGAAGGAGGAACTGCCTACATTTTGTGTTGACTTTTTTCATGACCTTGAGTAGAGCAGAATAAGATCACACTTCAGTGCCTTGGAGGTTGAAGAGGCCTTGGTGAATACCCAAGAGAGCAGAAAATTCCAGTGCCAAGAGACCTGTGGCATCAGCCAGCTTGTTAGACAAAGGAGGTAGAAATTAAAATCAATGTTTATCATGTATTCTAAAACAAAGCTGACGGATCTGGGTAGTATCAGGCACAGCTGGTGAACTCAGACTGGTCTGATGAACTCAGACTGGTGGGGTGGGCGGAGCGGCACACAGAAGCGGGGGCGGGGGCTGCAGCCGGCCAGGAGCAGGGGGTGTTTACAGTCTTCCTGCTCCCAGCCGGAGTGCCCGGCTGGTTGCAAACCCCCCTGCTCCCACGTGATGCTCTACCTGCCCCACCAGTCTGAGCTCATCAGCAGTGCCTGGGTAGTATCCATTTGAAAGTTCTTTCATAGCCTGAAAATACATTGTTGTATATAGTATACTCTAATGTGTACTTAAATGTTTCTGTAACTTTTATTACACGTGGCTTTTATTGAAGCTAATATTTTAAGTGTCACTTTCAAATTGGGTCCTGGAATTTTGTAATAACTGGGTTCTCACGGGTTTTTTGTTATTGTTTAAAAATAATAAAAAGCTCTTCCACAGGAACTGTTCATTGAGTATGTTTCAAAAAGTGATGGCTCTTCAAAGCAAGACTGGGCAAGTAAAAGATATTCCAGTTACTACCAGCCTGATTTTCAGGGGGTTGAAGGTCCTTATGGGATCAGAGCTATAGTTTTAGGCTATTTTTACTCAAGAACTTCTTGTGTGTGGCTTTCACAAACATGAACTAATAAGCACATCCAGGTGTTGGAAAGTGGAAGTGATGCAAGTTGCAGGAGAGGCAGGGCATGTCTACATGTGCATTTTAATGTGTAATAAAACACCGCGTAAAAAATGTGCAAATACTCTAATGGGCAGAAAGTAGGCTACTGCACATTAAACATCACTTAAAAAGCATGCACTTGCAGAAATGCACATTAGGGAAGCCAAATGTGCATTCATTTAGTACCTCACATTGGAGAAAGTAGATCAGACTACTGTGCAGTAAAACATCTCATGCAGACACACCCAGGGGGACATTTTCTGATAGAGCACTAGCACTCTTCTCAAGAAGGAAAAATAAGCTCACCCATATCAAGAGTCAGGAGGTGTATCACCAATTTACATGTAGGTGGGTGCTGGGTCTGGGTGATTTCATCCCTGCTTCAGTGGTCCAGTTATTTTCATTTACAGACATTTTTGCTTGCATGCTCTGAAAGAAGTGAACCATTGGCCAACAGCACCACCTGCTGGTTAGTCTGAGGAATAAGCAGCAGCACTTCACATTCACAGAAACAAGGGCAAATGAGACTAGGCAGGCCTGTCCCTACTTCAGATGGTGCCTGGTCTAGGATCATTCTCCTAGCTCAGGGATCACATTTTTTCAGAAGGGAGATGGAATAACACTGCTCCAGTCTGAGGTGGGGCGGCACTAGGATGCCGCTGCCTCTGCTGCCTCTCCCTGCTGCATGGCACAGGCAAAGCACTCCTACCCCCCAACAGTGGCATGCTGTCAAAGCCATGAATGCAGGGACTAGATCCAGCCCCCAGACCATAGGTTGATACGCTTTCTTTTTATCCTAGCTAATTTCTTTGGCCAAGCCATTCCTCCTTCTCAGTACTCCTCCTGCTGTTTGTCTTTATCCTCAAGGTCCATTACATCATTCCCTCATCCTATATCACGTCTTATCCAGAACGGAGACCCTGACTCCTTCCTCCAGTGACTTACAAGCACCCGCCTTTCCTGTGACATCTACAAAAGCATAGCAAGGGCTTGGCTGTTGTTTTAATGCCATGAGCCCTTCCTATCCTGTTGATAGCCCTGTTCCATTGTGCTCCCCATTTCCAATGGTACTGAAGTCTGAGACACAGATGCACCTTGTTCTGCTTCTTATGTAGTGCCAGATACCATAGGTTTCCTGGCCTATAATGGGAGCTCCTGCATATTGTAGGAATGCAAATAATAATTTAAAGCTTATCTCTTGGGATTCTTCATCAACCTACTGAAACTGTTCTGATGCCCAGTAACAGATCCAGGAATAGGATGAAGGGGGAGCATGCAGCCCCTTAACTTTTTTGATTTTTGTTATTTATATATTTTGGAAAATTTTTCATCTTCTTGGTCAAATTAGCCAGATCAGTTCTGAATCCTTTGAATCATTGAAAAATCATATGTGGCCCTGCTACTGGCAAGTATCCTCCACACTAGACTTTTCAGACTGGGTCTTTAGATACTTTCAAATCCATTGGCAGGCATCCTACATGCAGGCCCAAGTCCGGAGGCTTCAGGTTCGGATGTCCCTGAGTTTTGCTTGCCCTCAGCCAACGGCCACAGGAGCAAGCTAAGGAGGAGACCCCATTGTCATAAAGTCAGAGTGTAGCCCCCTCACCTGGACACTTTGACTCTGCTGCGCACGTAGAGGAGCTCTGAAATCACTGCCCAGTCAACAGGGGCTCCTGCTGGAGCTCCATGTGAACAGTGAGCTCTGAGCTCACCAGCTGATTGGGGTGAGGTCTGGCCAGAGTCCCTGCTTTCCTATGGTCCCAGAGCCCAGAGGGTGAAGGCTGCTATTGTTTTCCCTTCTCTTTCCTCTCTGTTGAATTCAACAGCAGGGGAAAGGAGGGGATGAGCAGCAGCAACACATCTCTCTTTCACCCAGACCCACACCAAGGGATTACTTAGCAGAGCTAAAGTGAGGGTCCAGTCTCACTGCCAAGCCCCCTCTAGATCCACCCCTGTTTACACCCATCTCTGAACACCATCACCACCTACTTTGAGTAAAAAGTTGAATGCTGATCAGAGGGACATTATTGCTGTTTTCAACCAAGGGTCTCCTCTGTCTGGTGCTTAGCCCCATTCCATAGCTACATAAACCAGGGAGGGCAGGGAATGTGGATGGCTGGATTGACTGAATCAGAGGACCAGTGCCACACTCCTCCACTCGTGGGGGAGGCAGGAAGTAAGGTCAAGGTTTTTCGAAGGCAAAGACAGTGAGAAAGCATGTCAATGTAGACAGATCTAAATCTTCCAGTTCTGGACACATCATCCTCAAACTTCTGGAGACTTACTGTGCAGCCTGAACACATCTAAAATTCAGAGAAATTCACAGGAAGGTTAGGAAGGATAAAGAAAAGAGTGCACCTTCTGCTCCCATTGGAGCCTATGGAACCTTTACACAGAAGGTTTTGCTTTCTGTAGACATAGCAATTTTCCCAGCTGCCTCAAATAAGCTGCTTTCCACCATAAGGGCAGACCATTTTGATTAGCTTTGTACACTGGCTTTGCCATTCATGTAGGGGACTACTTGTCACTGTGCATAAGGGAAAAACAACAGACTTGGGGGCTACACCTTCTTCTCTTTCCTGACAAGCCATAAAGCTCATCCTATGTTCCTGGAGTTATGCTGAGCTACTTCTACCTCACAGCCTCTCCTCTCCAAGGAACAAACAAGGCTCTTGGTAAAACCTGTGCATGTCTATCAGCTTGCAGCATTGGAGGGAGGTGAGAAATGAGAGAGGGGTTCTCTTTGAAAGAAAAGAACTTATAATTGAAAGTTTAAGATTTGTCTTTAAAGATCAGATAATGGAACTTCCTCACATTTCGTGTTATATGGATAAAGAGCTTTATAATGCAGTGTCATACCAATGACATTAGAGTGGGCAGATCTTTATAGTTTAAAATTAATTGTGCTACTGCATGATCAATGGACAGTGCTGGTACTTATTGGAATGCCTGTCTGCTATAAAACACAGTTGAGAGATCTAAAATGCTAAAAGAAAACCATAAGCAAATATAAATGCAGTTTATTAA